GCAAAGATCGCCGCCGTTCGCCGCGACCACCGGAGCCGCAGCAGCTAATAAGCTAACAGAGCTAACCGCTTGTACATCCGGTTCGAGATTTCACAATAAAAGCATGCACGTTGTGACAGAAATCCGAGAATTTAATTTAATAACTGAAAATCAGGAAATATACAGATCCTCTACTTCGGTAAAAGAACAAACACACTGTGTAAAGGTTACTTCAGTAAAATGTAGGTATGATTTCATAAGAGAACTGAGTTATGCATTAATAATGTAAAAGCAGGATTTTACTGCTGTAATATAAATGAGCATCAGTTAATATATAATATAATATAAACTGTCAATGGTGTTGTTTCTAATTCCTCTGCCATAAAGCAGTTATACACAGTATGATATTAATTGTGTTATATTTTAAATATACAAACAAACTCTGACAAAACACTTTTTGACTTCTGTGATTTATTTATTATTATTATTATTATTATTATTGGTAACTATTTGCGTAGTTTAATATCTTATTTTGAAAGCACAGCTTCCGGTCCAGTTGTAGTTATCGGTGGACACTTGACGTTGATTCACGCAGCATCCCAGAGCCGAGCGTAACCGGAAACCGCCGAGCAGAGCCGAACACGGCCGAGGTTCAGTGAGTGTTGCTCTGCTTTTTCTCGGTCTCAGAGGGAAATGTTGGACTTCTTGAACATTTACTGTCACACATTAAGGTTTTTCTTTGACGCAGAAGAAAAGATTAGTTTGTGTGAGCAGATTTAACTGCACTCAGTTTGATGCATCAGCGGACTCATTAAATAACTGCTCAGTCAACATATTAAAGCATCAATAATTCACAGAGCAGACGTATTTAAAAGGTTTTAATGTTGATATGATGATGATTCAAAGAGTGTCTGCAGGGCCAAACAGCATTTTATCAGATAAATACTCAATTTAAATGTTTTTTTTAAATGAACAGAATATATTACGTTAATTCTCTGTCCTCAGATCCTCCTTTACAAATGTGAGTGGAGAGTTGTGTGACTGTATCTCAGTCAATGTGCGTGTAATCAGACTGTAAATGTGTAAAAGAATCTCCAAATCTCTATTCAGATAATAAATAATATTAATAAATCTGATGCATACATGGATGGCGCCATGTACGGCCGCCTCGGTGTGTTGGTGCGCTTTGTTTTTTCTTGTTTTGTTTGTTAATTCAGTTTTCGGCTGTGATACCCAGAACTCTTTCACAAGAGAAGGGCTCATGTACATCAGGGGAACAACTCCAGCTGATCTCTTTCCCACTTTTCTTCTTTCTTCCGTGGAATTATTGGACATTGTGGTCAAAGGTGCGCTCACCTTTGCTCACGCAGTGAAACACAGGAGGAGAGGGAGACGTGCCGGTGCGCTTGTGCGTCTCCGCCAGCGCGGACATCGCACACCGTTACCTGGAATATTCCTCTCCAACGTGCGTTCACTGTGCAACAAAATGGACGAACTTCAGCTCCTTCTGGGGAAAAACAGTGACTTTTCTTCATCTTCTGTTTTATGCTTCACGGAGACGTGGCTGTGTGGATCAGTACCGGACTCTGCGCTGCAGCTGGCAGGCTTCCAACTCCTCAGAGCGGATCGTAACACGGAACTCTCCGGCAAAACAAAGGGTGGAGGAATCTGTTTTTATACCAACAGTAGCTGGTGCAATGATGTGACAGTGATCCAATAGCACTGCTCTTCTTCATAAACTGCAAACCTTTTTACTCCCCCCGTGAGTTCGTTTCATTCATTCTGGTCGGTGTTTACATTCCACCGCAGGCCAACGTGCAGGACGCACAGCGCACGCTCGCCGACCAGATACTGTGTGTGGAGCGGACTAACCCGGACTCTTTAGTTATTGTCCTTGGTGACTTTAACAAAGGAAACCTCAGTCACGAACTTCCAAAATATAAACAGTTTATTAAATGCCCGACCAGAGAGAAGAACATACTGGATCACTGTTACACTACAGTCAGCTGAGCTTATCACGCTGTCCCCCGCGCCGCACTGGGCCTCTCTGACCACGTCATGGTCCACCTGATTCCCTCATACAGGCAGAAATTAAAGCTCTGCAAACCTGTTGTGAGGACATCAAAGCAGTGGACCAGTGAAGCTGTGGAGGATCTCCAGGCGTGCTTGGACTCTGCTGACTGGGATGTGTTCAGGACTGCTACTAACAGTCTGGATGAGTACACAGAGGCTGTGACATCATATATCAGCTTCTGTGAGGACTGCTGTGTACCATCACGCACCAGGGTGAGTTACAACAACGACAAACCCTGGTTCACAGCCAAACTCATTCAACTACGGTTGCAGAAGGAGTAAGCGTTAAGGAGTGGGGACAGGGACAAGTTTAAGGAGTCTAAGTACAAGTTTAGGAAGGCGGTGAGCGAAGCTAAACGTCAGTACTCTGAGAAACTTCAACACCAGTTCTCAGCCAACGACTCTGGTTCTGTCTGGAAGGGGCTCAGACAGATAACTAACTACAAGCCCAAAATCCCTCACTCCATCAATGATCTGCGCCTGGCAAACGAGCTGAATGAGTTCTACTGCCGCTTCGACAGACAAAGGAGCAGTCCTGACACCATCCCCCGTGACACCCCTCACCAGCCCCACCCCAGGATCCTGTTTGTGGACTTCAGCTCTGCGTTCAACACCATCATCCCTGCTCTGCTACAGGACAAGCTCTCCCAGCTCACTGTGCCTGACTCCACCTGCAGGTGGATCACAGACTTCCTGTCTGACAGGAAACAGCAGGTGAAGCTGGGGAAAAATGTCTCTGACTCCCAGACCATCAGCACCGGATCCCCCCAAGGCTGTGTTCTTTCTCCTCTGCCCTTCTCCCTGTATACTAACAGCTGCACCTCCAGTCACCAGTCCGTCAGGCTCCTGAAGTTCGCGGATGACACCTCCCTCATTGGGCTCATCTCTGGTACATCTGGCCTACAGATGGGAGATTGACCATCTGGTGACCTGGTGCAGCCAGAACAACCTGGAGCTAAACGCTCTAAAAACAGTGGAGATGGTTGTGGACTTTAGGAAGAACCCAGCCCCACCCGCCCCTATAATCCTGTGTGACTCCCCAGTTGACTCTGTGGAGTCCTTCCGCTTTCTGGGTACCATTATCACCCAGGACCTCAAGTGGGAGCTGAACATCAGCTCCCTCTCTAAGAAAGCCCAGCAGAGGATGTACTTCCTGCGGCAGCTGAAGAAGTTCAACCTGCCAAAGACGATGATGGTGCACTTCTACACTGCCATCATCGAGTCCATCCTCACCTCATCCATCACCATCTGGTACGCTGCGGCCACTGCCAAGGACAAGGGCAGACTGCAGCGTATCATTCGATCAGCTGAGAAGGTGATCGGCTGCAATCTGCCATCCCTCCAGGACCTGTACGCCTCTAGGACCAGGAAGCGTGCAGGTAAGATTGTGGCTGACCCCACCCACCCCGGTCACAATCTCTTTGAGATACTTCCCTCTGGCAGGAGGCTGCGGTCCATCAGGACTAAAACGTCTCGCCATAAAAACAGTTTCTTCCCTTCGGCAGCTGGCCTCCTTAACAAGGCCCGGATTACCCACTGTCATTGACTCTTATACCCACCCTGTATATAAAGTATGCATTACATTAATGCACCCACGTTCTTCTGCACAGCTTTCTATTTCTCTTCTTATCTTTATCTATTTATTTTTTGAAAGTACTTTATTTTTCTGCTTTTCTGTGTGCTTTCTGTGTGATTTGAATAATTGTATATTTGTATATTTGTATTTGTATATGTATATATTTTTATGCACCAACTGCACCAGGTCACATTCCTCGTAGGCATAAAAACCTACTTGGCAATAAACAAATTCTGATTCTGATTCTAATTCTGAATGTGTAAATGTGTACATGAATGTGTAAATGTGTACATGAATCTGTAAATGTGGACATGCATATTAATGTCAGCAGTCTTTTTTGCTCCTACAGCTGGAAATACAGATCATCAGTTATGACTCTCAGTTGGCTCTTTTTACGCTGCTGCTGCAGATCTGACGCTGTGTGTGGACAGATTGTCTGTGTGCCTCGGTGGCCACGCCCACTTCGGGTTCCTGTACGCGTTGACAGGTTTCTGTACGCATTGACTCTGTACGCATTGACAGGTTTCTGTACACATTTACAGGTTTCTGTACGCATTGACAGGTTTCTGTACACATTTACAGGTTTCTGTACGCATTGACAGGTTTCTGTACGCATTGACAGGTTTCTGTATGCATTGACTCTGTACGCATTGACAGGTTTCTGTACATATTGACAGGTTTCTGTGCGCATTGACAGGTTTCTGTACACATTTACAGGTTTCTGTACGCATTGACAGGTTTCTGTACGCATTGACTCTGTATGCATTGACAGGTTTCTGTACGCATTGACAGGTTTCTGTACACATTTACAGGTTTCTGTACGCATTGACATGTTTCTGTACGCATTGACTCTGTACGCATTGACAGGTTTCTGTATGTATTGACAGGTTTATGTATGCATTGACAGGTTTCTGTACACATTTAAAGGTTTCTGTACACTTTTACAGGTTTCTGTATGCATTGACAGGTTTCTGTACGCATTGACAGGTTTCTGTACGCATTGACTCTGTAGGCATTGACAGGTTTCTGTACGCATTGACAGGTTCCTGTACGCATTGACTCTGTACGCATTGACAGGTTTCTGTACACATTTACAGGTTTCTGTACGCATTGACATGTTTCTGTACGCATTGACTCTGTACGCATTGACAGGTTTCTGTATGTATTGACAGGTTTATGTATGCATTGACAGGTTTCTGTACACATTTAAAGGTTTCTGTACACTTTTACAGGTTTCTGTATGCATTGACAGGTTTCTGTACGCATTGACAGGTTTCTGTACGCATTGACTCTGTAGGCATTGACAGGTTTCTGTACGCATTGACAGGTTCCTGTACGCATTGACTCTGTACGCATTGACAGGTTTCTGTACGCATTGACAGGTTTATGTACGCATTGACAGGTTTCTGTATGCATTGACAGGTTTCTGTACGCATTGACAGGTTTCTGTACACATTTACAGGTTTCTGTACGCATTGACAGGTTTCTGCACGCATTGACTCTGTACGCATTGACAGGTTTCTGTACATATTGACAGGTTTATGTATGCATTGACAGGTTTATGTACGCATTGACTCTGTACGCATTGACAGGTTTCTGTACACATTTACAGGTTTCTGTACACATTGACAGGTTTCTGTACGCATTGACAGGTTTATGTACGCATTGACTTTGTATGCATTGACAGGTTTATGTACGCATTGACAGGTTTCTGTACACATTGACAGGTTTCTGTACGCATCGACAGGTTTATGTACGCATTGACTTTGTACGCATTGACAGGTTTATGTACGCATTGACTTTGTACGCATTGACAGGTTTATGTACGCATTGACAGGAGTTTAGACTTATTTGAAAAGAGATAACTTCTGTTATGATTTGGTGCTATACAAATAAAACTGAATTGAAGTTGCTGAGGGTCGTCAACCTGACTTTTGCAGCAACGTGACATCATCCAGCAAGATCCTGTGCGGACCAATCACAGGCAGGCGCACAGTGCGGGTACATTGGTTTGTAACCTGAACGCTGTATTGTGACGATAGCAACAAACATGGAGATGTGTAAACGCTCCTCACTCACCAGCCTCCCAACAGGAAGAGGCGGAGCCAGAGGAGGCAGCTGGAAGCAGGAGGAGGAGGAGGAGGAGTGTTGTCCTGTGTCGGGAGGGGAGGAGAAGGAGCGCAGCCTCCTGGTCTCCGGACGCCTCGGCTCCGTCAGGTACGTCTCCAGACGGAAAAAACTCAGCTCCTCCTGACGGGGGGGAGGAGGAGGAGGAGGAGGATGGGAGGAGAGGCTGTGGGCTGGGAGGGAGGGAGGGAGGGAGGAGAAAGTAATGGAGAGAGTTTTAAATAAACCTGCACACACACACACACACACACACACACACACACACACACACACACACACACACACACACAGCAGTGATAACAGTCTATATTTAGTGGATGATGGTTGATGTCAGTCCTCTGAGACAGCTGGCAGATTATAATGGAAACATACTCATAACAATAACAATAACAACAACAACAACAACAACAATAATAATAATAATAATAATACACTCACACACAGAGGCAGCTTGAATCCCTCATTATATCTGTTCTTTTAAAACATTTGGGTTTCTGTCTGTCTCTCTCTCTCTGTGTCTGTCTCTCTCTCTGTCTGTCTGTCTGTCTGTCTGTCTGTCTGTCTGTCTCTCCCTCTCTCTCTCTCTGTCTGTCTGTCTGTCTGTCTGTCTGTCTCAGACTGACCAACAGAGAGTGCAGACTGCTGTAATGTAGGTTACCTTGTACCTCTCTCTAATGCACAGACACACACCAATCTGCTAATAGGAAATTCTACAGTGTGCTGAGGGGAACATGAACAGACAGGCACTTTAACGGATTAGAGGGGAGTACTGTGCACACCACACACACACACACACACACACACACACACAGTAGAATGAATACTCTGTGAGGTCTGTCATCCTCAGACTAGTTCCAGTTAGAGACAGATTAAAGACCAAAGACTTTTAGTTCCAAAAACACTCCATCCTACATTTCCCATAATATTTTTTAATTCATAGGAATATTAATAAAATTAAAATGTCTTATATAAAAAGACAGTTAAAGTTTGTAGATATTTAGAGCTAGTTTAATGCTGTTAATACATTTATAAATGTAATATAAATGTTAATGATCAATTCATAGTTGAATAAAATTGAATTGAATTGTTGAGTGTTGTAGATATTGCTGTAATTTATTAGTGTGTTGTTTTTATTACCTTTTTCTTTCCCTTTTAACTTATGCGAAGTGTCTTTGAGTTTCTTTCTATAAAGTAAATATATTATTATTATTATTATTATTATTATTATTATTAATCAATTATTGTTACTTATGTAAAATAAGTGACATTAACCGTAAAAGGTATTCTTCTTTCTTTCTTTCTTTCTTTCTTTCTTTGATTAAACATTAAAAAGACAAAAACTTGAGTTTGGTGTGACAGTGTGGAGCAGCTACTCGTGCCACACTGTCACACCAAACTCCATTAAACAAACGGCTGTTTTAAGGAAGTAAAACCTTTATTTCCACCATCAGTGAGACTCTGATTCTCTTCAGTCTACAGACACAATCTGCTCACATTGACTCAGTAACATCATTAACTAACCTGTGAGGAAGAGTTGGACACAGACACACTCACTGACTGTCTGTCATTAACTAACCTGTGAGGAAGAGTTGGACACAGACACACTCACTGACTGTCTGTCATTAACTAACCTGTGAGGAAGAGTTGGACACAGACACACTCACTGACTGTCTGTCATTAACTAACCTGTGAGGAAGAGTTGGACACAGACACACTCACTGACTGTCTGTCATTAACTAACCTGTGAGGAAGAGTTGGAGAAAGTGACGTACGCCTGCTCTCGAACACAATGGTTCGACAGTTTACTGTAAAATCTTCAGATGTTTTTATTGTTAGATTATAAATGTAATTATTGTCAGTACCTGTGTTTATCCTAGTGTTTCATGTCAAAATGTCTGCTTTGAGATTTGTTATAAGATTGGTCAAACACTGAGCTATAGGCCTGCTGTGTACGCCCAGTGGATTATCTTCAAAATGAACAAAGTAGCACCAAGGTTGTCAACAAGCTGAGAGTGAGGAGATACAGAGAGTTTGACCTCCGCAGCAATCAGTGCAGAAACCTTGATCAGTAATTCTGGTTCATCATCCTAAACAGACTTTCACCATTTACAAAGTTCACCCGCAGAATCTCCCCCAACTTTAGTTAAAGTTACACTGTTTTAATGAAGGTTTCGTTGAACTAAAGCTTCTTCAGCTGACTGCTCTCAGCGTTTCCTGTCTGACAGAGCGAACTGTGGTTACAGCGAGATTACAGCACAGTGAAATGATACAGAGTGACATTAACCTAATCACTCAGCCGCCGACACAAACAGTGATTACAGGTTTAGTTTTGGTGGGAAGAACAGGTCTGCTGCGGTGGAGTGACGCACACTGACACGCTCAGTGTGACTGTAAGCGTCCACCTGTGCGGCAATAACAGGATTACTTTTGTTTTTTAGCCTCTTTGTTCCTGCTCTCGTAGCTCAAACCCAGGTTCAGGTTCTGTGGAGGAAACGGAGCTGTTGTGTGGAGAGGACATAAGAAAGGCTGTGATGTGTCGAAAGCTCCAGAAGAGCTACATAATGACCCAAAAGTCAGGCATGAACATCATCAAAATTCAATGAACTGCTCAGAACATCTAGGACTCCACGTGCTGATGAAGATCATGCCACGTGGCTGAAAGCTCTGAAACTACACGCTGCAGTTAGCTCGTTCTCCCAAATGTTTGGAGGAGGTGTGTTGCTGAATGATTAGCATTTGCTAGGTTGCTAATAAGATGGTGGTTGTTAGGGTGTTCGAGTTAGTCGCTGAAGATGATCCTAGATGGTTGCTGTTGCTATAGGAACATCGGTGGTAGCTATGGTGATGTGAGTGGTTAGCAGGCTGTTTCTAAGGTGCTCCCGGTTGTTGCTATGCAAAAAATAGGTGGTTACTAGGCTGTTGTCAGTAGTGTCACAGTAATGTATTTGCAGGTGTCACTAGGGGGTTGTCAGAGTGTTGCTGTTGCTATATGAGATAGTTGCTATGGTGATTCTGCATGGTATACCCTAGTGGTGGAGATCCTGGATGGTGGGCAGTTGGAAGTTGCTATTTACATGTGCATAAGTGGTAGCCATGGTGATGATGCTAGGTGGTTGCTAGGTGGTTGCTATGGTGTTCAGTGTGGTTGCTAGGGTGTTTTGGGTAGTGTAACTGCAGTAGTAAAAACATTGCTGGGTGGTTGTTGTTGGTGGTCCTTGATGGTTGATCATGTCTGTGTGTTGTATGTGTGGTGGTTGCTATGGCGATTTGGTTGCTAGGGTATACTGTGTGTATTTTAGCCCAAACATAAACAAACATACTACCACGACATCCAGTGTTCATGTACACGTTTTGCTTACTCTCGTCCAGAGGGCCGACGGGTTCTGACCTCCCTCTGGTCATCCGTCTGAACTCGTCTCCCTGCCTCCTGTCCGTCTGTGCGTCCCCCTCCTCGCCGCAGGACGTCCTGCGCCCCGTCCGTCTCTGCAGCAGCTCCCTCCTCTTCCTGTTGGACAGAGGAAGCAGTTGGACGTGGAGGATCCCGCAAGGCTCTGACCGCCGCCGCAGCGTCCGTCTGTCCGCCTCCTTCGGCCTCCTGTCCACCTGTCCTCCTGCTCTGTCCTCTACCATCATCCATGACGCAGACTTCCTCCTTTCCTTCCCTCTGCCCGTCTCTGTCATCTTCCCGTCTCTCCTTTCCTCGTCCTCCATGTTGGATTCAGACCTCCTGCGTTCTTTCTTCCTGCTGCTCTCACTCTTCTTCTCCTCCATCTTTCCAGCTCCCTCCGTCTGTCCAAAGGGCTCAGACTTCCTCCTCAGCATAGGTCTGTGTGTCTGTCTGTCTCTCCTGTCCGTCTGCCTCTCCTCCTCCTCCTCCTCCTCCTCCTCCTCATCTTCCTCTCCTCCTCCATATGGCTCACTCCTCCTCCTCCCTGTCCATCTCTCCTTCTCCTTCCACTTCCTCAGCATCAGGCCGCTCAGACGCTTCATCGCCATGAATCAGTTCATCCAAAACGCAAAGTGAAAACCAAAAGACTCCGAATGAAGACTTTAATCCGTTCTCGTCAGTCTCTGCTAATGTGTCTATAAAAAGAGATTTAAATATCACTCTTTCTGTTACACTACGTTACCATTAGAACAACGGCCACAGCTGCTAATTCAGATAAAAGTAAGAAATTAAAACAAAACATCATCAATTAAACTTCATTGAACTAAATGCTGCAATAAAGTTGTGTAATGAAGTAA